CGTTGTAAGGGAAGCAGATGGTAGCCTTGCAGCCCACCGTACATCTTACGCTGTACTCCGGCAAACGCACTAATCCTTCTTGTTAGACAAGAACAGAAACCCCCCAAATGCTTTCCATATGTCCCATTGTCTTCCTGGTCCTTTAATTCTACCTCAAAAGCCCCCAACTTAGCAACCTTCATATTAATGCTAAACATATTACATCAGTTCTAACACTGATATGTTTAATATGAATACAATTAAAGTTGCTTCAACATAATCCTGGTAAGATAAACAGCACCGCTATTATTATAAACATCCCTGCAAGATCTCTTGTAAAATATTATCAATACTAATAGAAGTCCCCTCCACACACACCCCCAACACCCACCCAGACTCTCGTGCTAAACAATGCCACTGCCTCCCTACTAATAACAAATATGTCCAGTGATTTAAACATTGGTGCATCCAATGTAAACACCATTATAGCTAATGTAAAACAGTCACCCGGCCCAGCAAACCTTCAACCAGCGAGCTGCGGAAGAGAAAGAACAGTTTCCTCGGCAAGAATGCATTACAGCCTGCTGGTGCCATTTGCAATAGATTACTTAAGCCCATAAAGAAATGAAAATTGCAGGCTCACTCTGAGCCAGAAATGATGAAATTGGAGAGCCCAGGCTTGGTACGGCATGGCAGACCAGCTTCTGCCCAGGGTCTGCAGGTCCGGTGCGGTTGGAACGTGCCCTCCTAGAGTCTGTGTGCGCCCCACCATATCTCTGATACAGAGTGTCCCTTTGGTCCTGCTTCCAGTACATGCTTTCCACACGTATAGGCATGAAGCCTAAGGCTGGCCTTTTCAGAGCTGATGTGCTCGCCAGACTGGGCATGTCTAAGCGTGTGCACGTGGAGAGATTTCTCTCCATAATGGCCTTGGCTGGCTAGCCCGGCAAAGGACAATGCTGAGTTTTCCGCCTCCCCCTTCTTTTTCACATTATGGAGAAGATCAGGGCTTGTGGAGGAGACCTAGATGCTTCACCAGGGTTCTATTTTGTTGGTTTGCGTCTTTCCTCCCAGGGACCTCTGAAACAAGCCGACAGATGCCCACACCACAGCCCTGGCCTCGTTCACAACAAGCTCTTGTTTCTTTCTCGCCTGTCTCCCTCTTGCTACCTTCTTCCTTGATTTATTGGTTCCTAATCCCCTGTGTGCATCTCTCATTTCTGGAAACTTCTTGGGTGTGGTTCCAATATTCCATATTCACTTTTTTTTTTTTAAGTCCATCAAGCCCACCCCTGCTAATTAACCAAGTTCACCCAGCTCTGGTTCCCAGCAGACCCAGCTGCAGAAGGTCTCCACGTGGACCAGTTGTGGCTTCCCACTGCCTCTCAGGAGTGTCCCTAGGAAACTTCCAAAGGAGGGTCATGCCCTTTGGGGCTGGGCTGTATGACATTTAC